GCATAAGCGCCTTATTGTCTGTTTCATTGAATAGGTCTCTCCGAAGTGAACCCATTCCTACCTCTACAGGGATCATTGTCTCGCAGCTATAGACTAGCAAGAAGGGGGTTTCTGAGGTAGAGGTTCTTAAAGTTGTCCTGTATGCCCACAAGACTTCAGGGAGGTCGTCAACCCAATTCCCTTTGGCAGCGCCAAGTTTGGTTTTCAGAATATGCTTGATGGTCTTACTAACAGCTTCAACCTGATCGTTTGTTTGCGGTCTCGCGACTGAGGCAAACTTTTTATGGATACCCAGTTCATCGCAGAACTGCTTGAATTCCTCATTATCGAACTGCTCTCCATTGTCGGAGATAAGGGTATGAGGAATTCTGTAGCGGCACACAATGTTCTTGAAGACGAAATCCTTGAGTTTTTTGGTGGTGATCGTAGCCAAAGGTTCGGCTTTGATCCACTTGGTGAAGTAGTCTACCGCGACCACCACATACTTGACTCCTCCTTTACCAACTAGCATAGGTTTGATGAGATCGATTCCCCACATGGAGAATGGCCAGGGACTGGACATGGTTATCAAATTGTGGGAAGGAGCTCGTGGTATGTTCGCGAACCGTTGGCACTTGTCACACTTTTTAACAAAGTTGTAGGCATCTTCTTGGAGTAGGGCCAATAGTACCCTTGACGAACAACTTTGTTGGCGAGAGATCGTGCGACCATGTGGTTACCACAGATCGCTTCATGTATCACCCTCATGATATAATATGCTTCCTCATCGGTTACACATCGGAGGAGGGGAGCGTTAAACCCTCGCTTGTACAATTGATCTCCTATGAGTGTGTAACGAGCAGCTCTGGTTCGCTGGGTTCTTGCCTCGATCTTGTCATTGCGCAAGGTCTTATCTTAGAGATACTGGATGATTGGGGTCATCCAGGAAACTGGCTCGGTCATATTCATGGCCTGTTCGGGCGAGCTGATACTAGGGGCCTTTATGAACCGAACAGGAATACTCTCTGGCGCATCTGAGTCCAGCAACGAGACTATCTTTACCAAGGCATCCGCAAAAAATTACTATCTCTAGGAATTTGTGTGATCGTGAAGTGCTTAAATGGCTCGAGTGCGGCCTTAGCTTTCTTCGGATAACCGATCATGTTTTCTTCCTTAGCCTGATACTCCCCTAAAATCTGGTTGATAACCAGCATGGAGTCACTATGGATACTGATCACGGTTGATCCCATTTCTCTTGCCAACCATAGTCCAGCGAGTAGAGCTTCATACTCAGCTTCGTTGTTGGTTGATTTGAACCCAAACCGAAGAATGCCGTGAATACGAGTCCCTTTGGGACAGAGGAGAAGGAGGCATGCTCCGGCCCTTTTCCTGTTTGACGATCCATCGACGTAGAAGCTCTAGGTCGATAGATTTTAGACGGTTTTCTGGGTGACTTCACTGGCCTGTTGCTTGGATTCTTTAACCGGTTGATATGAGAACTCCGAGATGAAATCGGCAACAGCATGCCCTTTGATGGTTGCTTTCGGTCTGTACTGCAGATCGAACTGACTTAGTTCCTGGTTTTTGAAGGACTTGCTTAAGTGGGTAATTGGTCAATACATAAATTGTGTGGGCGTGGAAGTAAGGTCACAACTTTCTAGAAGCGATCAGCAGGGCATAAGTCAATCGCTCCATTTTCGGATACCGCATCTTGGTGTCCAGCAGACGCTTGCTCACATAATATACTGGCCATTGGACCCTGTTCTCCTCCAGAACTAAAGTTGCATTGACCGTATACTGAGAGACGGACAGATATAGAAGAAGAATTTCTTGCAGGAGAGGTGGCTTTTCGAGGTGCTCTTTAATGCTCTAGAATGCCTGTTCGCACTCGGGAGTCCATTCAAATTTCTTGTTGGCCCTTAGTATATTAAAGAATGGTAAGCATCGATCTGTTGCCTTCGATATGAAGCGACTGAGTGCCGCTATTCGCCTATTGAGACTTTGAACCTGTTTTCGGTTGGTCGAGCTTTCCATATCGAGGAGAGCTTGGATTTTTTCGGGGTTGATCTCTATTCCCCTCTGATTAACCATGTACCCCAGGAATATTCCTGAGGATACTCCGAATGAGCATTTGAGAGGATTGAGCTTCATTCTGTACTTTCGGAGTATGCCGAACATCTCAGCGAGATGTGCTATGTGATTTGAAGCGACATGCGATTTGACCAGCATGTCATCAACATAGACTTCCATCGATTTCCTGATCTACTCGAAAAACATTCGGTTAACCAGCCGCTGGTAAGTTGCTCCAACATTTTTTAGGCCGAAGACCATAACCCTGTAACAATACAGCCCCCGATCTGTAACAAAAAAGGTATGTTCTTCGTCCAACGCGTACATCAAAATTTGATTGTATCTTGAGTAGGTGTCCATAAAACTCAGCAGCTCGTGCTCGGAGGTGGCATCAACGAGCTGATCAATCCTTGGCAAGGGAAATCTGTCTTTCGGACAGGCTTTGTTGAGGTCGGTGAAGTCAACGCAGGTCCGATATTTACCGTTTGGCTTCTTTACCAAAACCGGGTTGGCCACCCAGCTTGGGTAGAGCACCTCCCGGATGGATCCATTCAGAAGGAGATTATCTATCTCAACTTTCAAGGCAGCATATCGCTCTGGATCTATTGCTCGTCTCTTCTGGCGGACTGGCCTGGCCTCACTATCGATGTTCAAGGCATGGCAAATGATATTCGGGCTGATCCAGACCATGTCGGCATGAGTCCATGCGAACACATCGACATTTTCCTTGAGGAAGCTAGTCAGGTCGCTGGTGAGCTGGGGGTTGAGATTGCTTCCAATTCTTAGCACCCGGCTCAACTCGCTCTGATCGACTGATACTTCAGACATGTCCTCAACCGACCAACTGGACGGGCATTTCTGGATACGAGGATCCATGTTATCTTTAGCTGGACTAGGCTGTGGTTCGATTCGGCTGATCGTCATTGCTTGTTTAGGGATGCCCAGTGGACTACCTTTTCCCTTGCACGCCATCTGCACTGCCCTTACATAGCAGTCGCGAGATACGCGTTGAGATCCACTAACTTTCCCTATCCCCATCGGGGTGGGGAACTTCATCTTCAGATGGTAGATCGAGGTGACTGCTTTGAAGTTTCTTAGTAAAGGTCGTCCTAGGATACCATTAAACGCGAATAGACAGTCCACTACTAGAAACTCAGTAATATTGGTCACCTCGTTGGAGTCACCCAATGTGACTGGGAGTGAGATCATCCCTTTGGGGATCAGATGATCCCCGGTGAAACCATATAGCTGGATGGAGGCAGGCTTCAAATCGGCCTCATCCAGATTCATTCTTTTGAAAGCTCGCAGGAACAAGATGTTCACGGCGCTTCTCTCTATTTGGGGCGTGATGACGAGAGCATTGTCATGGGGATGATGCAATCGAACTGCGTCTTTTTCGAAGAAGGTGATTTCCTCCTCTCTACGAACTTTATATGGTCGCGGTGTCGTGTTCATTACACTAGGGTTGTGATGGGCTGCGCGAGCATACCTTTCTTGGGCAATTCCCTGTGAGGTGTGGTCCCCCAAAGATGATCCCTACACAATAGATACCCTTACGACCACGACGCTTCTTGCCTGGTTCCTCTTGGTTTTTCTCCCTTATGGGAGTAGAGTCATCAATGTACTCTTTGAAATGCCCCTGCTTGATGAGGTCTTCAATTGCTTGCTTGAGTGCTCGACACTCATCAGTGTGATGCCCATTATCCCGATGATAGCGATAGTACTTCTTATTGTTTCTGGCTGAAAATGGATTTTTCATGGGCTCAGGCTCCCCGAGCAGGCCGGCCTCTTCGGACTTATCAAGAATAGCATAGACCGATGCATTCAAAGATGTGTACTAACTCTTGTTGCGATTGCGACGAGGAATTGAGGCATAAGATTTCTTGGGCTCATACCACTGCTTCTTTCCTTTTCGCTGATCGTCATTAGCCCATCTGCGATCAACCCTCATACTCTCCCCCCGACCAGGCGCACTACGCAAAGGACCAGGGTCGTGGCAATTAAGCGGCGCCATAAAGTTTTTAATGCGGAGGTACTTCTCTGTAAGGATGTAGAAGCGGGTGAGGGAAACATCGTCCTCAGATTGTAGCTCTTTCCACAGATCTGTCTGTGAACGAACTCGCACGATGATGAAAGTCCGAATGGACTCTTCGAGAGTGTGAGCTACCTTATGGAGCTCCTTATGGAATCTGTCAATATAAGATTGGAGGGGCTCATCCCTTTCTTGCCTTATGTTGCTGAGATAGCTTAAAGGCATCGAGAACTTCTTGTTCGCCTGGAAGTGTCTCAAAAATGTCAAGCTTATCTGAGGCCATGAGCTGACTGATCCTGCTGGGAGCGACCTAAACCATCGCTTGGCATGAGAAGTAAGAGTTACTGCCAAGCAACGACATTTTACCAAGTTAGAGACTTGGTGGAGTTCCATGAGGTCGTTGAACTTGTATAGATGATCTTGCAGATCGAAATTCCCATCGAATGCTCGCATGTCGGGCATTCTGAATTTTGACGGGAGAGGGGCGGCTAACACTACTGGAGAAAAGGGAGACGCCTCTACGACCTTCCCTTGCTCATTTCGCTGAGCCTTTAACTGATTTAGGGCTCGCTGTAGTTCCTCAATCTGAGGTAGTAGAGCCATCTGGGGATCGCTTTCCGCGATATGGGTTTGACCCTTACAGTTGCGGTTAAGGAAAGATCGTAGGTCGAATTCCTCCTCGCCTCGGCCAACGGTCCCGACCAATCTCGACACATGTTGGCTAAAGTCGTGTGATGGTGCTGAATGGTTCGGGGAACCTTCTTGACCTCCGTGGTGGTATGAACTAACCCGCGAACAGTGGGAACTTCCTGCGCGACGATGATCAAAGTCGTCATTTTGGCGATAATGGGAATCTCCCTGCCTTGCACTTTTATGGGAGTGCTCGTGCGATGTGGCACGGGACGGCTCGGGCAGCGACATGTCACCGAGCCTCAATGCCATGGGTATTCTACTCAGGGCACAATCGGTGTTCGTTGGTCCCTCGAAGCGTCTAGGTCCGTTGTGTGCCACTTGCTTTCCTTTTCTTTGACGCGCTGCAGTGCGCGCGTTATGGGCTTTTGCCCTTTTCCTTGCTTTTATGTGACCTGCAGGCGTTTTTTGTTGTGGCACCGCCTCATTTGATTCGGGTGGTACGACCCGATCCAACCGGTCCAGCCTTTGGCTGACCGTTTGGAGAGTATTGTTGAATCTCTCCAGGTAACTCATGACGGCTGGATCAAGCCACGAGCTTGAAAGGATACCCCCCATGATATTTTGCCGGGATGAAGGCACCTCGGGAGAAGTGTCCTCTTGCACCTGGGGGATCTCTTTGTCACCATAATTGGTTCGCTCATATTCAAATCCACGAGCCATTTGTTGTAGTGGGACTGATTAGTCAAAGATTCTCCTGATGAAGAACAAGTACTAAATCAGGCATTTCTTCTAGCGCCAAACTGTTGATGCGTGATTTTGACACCAACAATTAGCACGTGGGAAATGTTGAGTGGACTCAGAAGTCACATGTGGTTATATGGGTGTTTGATTGAGTAAGGGATGAAGAACAATGTTTAAAGTGGTTTGGATGCTCAAACAAGCGAATCCTATGTCCATTGATATTGTATTAATGAATGAAGTCAAGTCGCGTTCAGTGAGCTGATTTATAGCTTAAGAAATACAATAGGAAGAGAGAGAGTGTGTGTATTCTATTTCAGAGAAAAATTAGTCAATCCTACAAACGGGAGAGGAGCCCTCTATTTATAGTAGGATGAATTAATGTAATGATTACTAAATCTGTGAGTGGGGCAAATGTCGTGTAAATCCTTCTCTGCGTCCCATTACTCACCTATCCGAGTGATTTCCTCGACTTACGTAGGGATTGGACACATGGACCTTTTCTAACATTTCGCCAACCAGGCGCATACCCACTGCAATAGCAGGAGCATGTTGCTTGCGTCATCACACGACGTGGTCGCATCTGAGTGGATGTAGAACCTTCTTAAGCTTCAACCACCCATGCTGACAAGGCTGGGCGTTAGCCCTACTTTCTCAGGCATAACAACCTTATTGGCCAACTAGATTTTACAAAATTTTCACATCTAATGTTTTCAATTAGAGAATTTCTTGGCTTGATTGATTAGCTGATTTGAATACAAATTGGCCTAATCCCTTGAGAGAATTTCAAATAAGATAATAATTATAAATTAAATTGTCAATACTTCAGATATTAATTAATTTTAACCGGTTGTTTTTTATTTTTATAATTTAAATATAATTGACACTGCAATCCTTCTAAACAATATGCAAAAAACTAAAATAACATTTACTTATGTTACATTATTGTTTTAAGTGAAGAAACATTTACACTATCAATAACATTAACGAAAAAATTACCCCCAAAAAAAAAAAAATTATTAACGAAAACTGTCAACACACAAAAATATATCTTGTAAATAAAACAATTTTGCATATCTATAATATTAATAAACGCATTAATAAATTTCGAAATATCAGTAGGAGTTGGGTACCAGAGTACCACCACCGAGTCGTCTTCTAAAATCTTCTCATCGAACTCAGAGCTAAGCCAGCACGGGCACGGGCACCGGCACGGGCACCAGTAAGACCTTTATAGGTACGTATATTGTATTAGACTAAATTAAACCTATTTACGCGCCGTGGCTCACAAACGCACCACATTCTAGTGTTAAGTTTGTTAAATAAAACATGACTTGGTTCTATTATTTGTATTTTTTGATTTACTAAGTTATTTGATTTTTGCAGTTTTGGTTGCTGAAGAATGGATACGGGTCCGAATGAGAGGAACCCACTTCGTGGGACGAGCTTTACAGTTTAAATTTGATACCTTCGGAGCTGTTTCTCAAGTTCAGAAAAGAAGTCGAGGGGTTACGAGTTGGCGTCAATTTGAGGTTCTTTTTTGGCTTTTACCAGTTTTTTTTTTTTTTTTTTTTTTTAAGTTTTATGCTATTTAAACTTTTAATTAGCAAATTTTGTTTGCCATCTAAAGTATCGAGACAAACTTGTGGAGAATAATAGGTTACAGCGGTTACTACGGGTGGAGGAAGTTGTTTTAATCTTGATTTTTGTTTGGTGGTTTCTGTTTTGAGAGTTGAGAACTAAAAGGAGACACTGAAAATTCTCATTTCGGTTTTCCATATGAAATTTTCTGATCCTTTTGCTCGAAATTTGAAAAATGGTGTATCAGTCAATATAAGATTGGTCAGTTTTATTGTTTGTTGTTCTTATTCTGGTTTGAGATAATTAATTCTTTAACATCATAAGGTTGTCAATGGCATAATGTGATGTATATTGTATTGGTGAGATAGATTCACTTGTTATATGCAGTTGGGAATAATAACAGAGAGTATGACATCTCAATGTATGGCTTGTTTTGTGTGAGTGTTGATCTTCAGTTGTTGTACCGTGATCCAACTACTTGATACATGATCTATTAGATCGTGTCCTTAGCATCGCGATGCAATAAGGTACTGCTGGCTTTCATTAAGGATCCAACTTTTCCTTGTTTACCATAATATCTGCTCTATGTGTTTGTTCTGTGCAGTACCAATTTACATTTTGCTATCTCTTTATCACTTGATACAAAAATATAAGCGGAGCTTAGTAATGTGAGCATAGGCATGATAAATGGAAATGTCACTGTCTGTGGTGTGTATTGATTTTTACTGGGCATACCTTGGATGTTATTTCTGTTGGATAGTTGGCCAGTACTGTCATCAGAAAACAAAAAAGAGGGGAGCTTATAGTTGGTTCAAGTGAAGTTTCTGGTGTACCTTAATGTGATAAATAAACTAAATGCAGTTAAGTGATCAAGTACTAATATCAGAGTAGAATGTTGATGTCCTGAATATCCCCCTTCATAGAAATGGTAATTATGTCGCTTAAATGCTGAAACAGTACTATCTCCTTAGATCTGGTGGAGAATTTGACTCCTTGACAAGCAGTCACAGCAGTTCCATAGATAAGACGCTTGAATTCATGAAGTGGCATCTATATTGTAGATGTTGCTTTATTACGATAGATATTTATAATGTAATAATCATTGGTTGCTGTTTCATTGTGATCATATTTTGCTCATAATTTTGGTTCAGTTCTATAATGCTCCAGTCAATGATTACAGCAAAGATCGTACGACGCCTCTGCCCCCGATCGTAGGTGGAGTTCATATATGAACCTGTACATCAAGATGTCGAATTCTTTCAAAAAGATCCCTGTCACAAATTCTGAATCCCGGTTGACATTCTGTCTTGATCTTTTTTCTAAAGCTCTCCTGTCCTAGGACGAGATAGAATTTTATATTTATATCATGTTCTGCATGATTTAGCAAATTTTAACTATGGTACAGGTAACTTTACTGCTTGTTCACCGAGGTCTGTGCAAAATTTTGGAGCATGATCAAACTCTTGTAAAATTACAGGTCGGTATAGGCCAAATTTTCAATTGCATGCAACTGGGTGAAATGGAAAATCACTACATTTTGGGTGGAGAGGAATATCTCGGCTCCAGAATAAGACATCTCTTGGCTTAGCCCTGTGGTGTGATTTGCGGTTCGGTTGGAAGGCGATTATGTTCTTCCAGAGATTACTGGGCAGTTCCTTAATCTTCAATACAGTTACCACTGAAGATTCTTGAAGCTATGAACTTGTATTTAAATTTTTTAATTTAATTAGATATCAAAATCACTCATTACTTGGATGGTTTATGGGACTGACGACTCTTGTTCTGCAATCCATAGCGACTTATTTATTTCTTTTTTTGTTGTTTATTCAGTCTGTATCTAGTCTTTTTTTTTTTTTTTTTTTGAAAGAAAGAAGAAGAAGAAGAAGAAGAAGAAAACTTTTCTGTATGCAGTATCATTGCTTTACATACATTTTGTATAGCTGATGGTTGAAACTTGAACCTCGAAATTAACAGGGCACTAGGTACTGGTGAACCATATTCACAGAACTCGGAAAATTGCAAGCAGCGACTAGACAGGGTTGAGGCTATTCTTACCCATACATCATGATACTTCTCAAAAATCAGGTAGACATATCTTGAAGTTGAACTTAGTATTGGTTGTCGAGGTCCTTAAGTACAAATTTTTAGGATATGAGTTGATACTGAAGCTCCCAGATTTCTGTAACGGTAGATTTTCTGTTAATAATTTCTTGCATCCAGATCAGATGTTTTTATTTATCTAAGCCATTGAAGTATATATTAGTCTTGACATGATAATTCTTTCTTTCAAAACTACCACTATGTGCCTGAAATTGGGAAGGTGCAACTGCCATGTCAGAATTCGTAGTCGTTTGGACTTTGGAATGAGTACAGTGATAGTGATGGCCTGATGATGTTTCAAGATGGGACTAACTAGTCATTATCGCCGTGCACATTTTGTGGATAAGATCTCGTCTGTCGTTCTCTTCAAATTGAAAGTGGAGTGGGTTCATGTATGTATGTGCTTTAATAAAGTTTCAGTGATGATTGCTATAGCTGGTTCCATGTTTCCATTTATCTTCTCATTGTTTGTTTCTCTAAGTTGATGTAAAAGCTAAGTTTTACTGTATTGCATCACACGTTGGCCTCAAATCATTTGTAGATCTTGAGAAGGTTCTCTTCTAGTATGATAACATCCATTAAATAAGCTGGCAATACCTAGTTATCAAAAGAGACTAATTGATGTAATATACACGTCAAATCAAAGCACCAGTATGGAACCAAGAAACCAGAACACTGTGTTACCGCCAAGCTCCACAGGACCACTGTTTGTGAAAGGAGGCACGGCGGCCTTAGAGAATTGGAACGAGTTATGCATGTTATAGCATATCTTTGATTAGTTATGCTGGTAATCACAATGCGATAGTCGCTCCTTGTGATTCATAGCTAGACCTGATGTTTGCAATGGTTCAAGAATCGTAATATGTAATTAATTACAATATTACAACGGATTGGCAATTGGCAGTACAAAATGGCCTTACTGGTCAGCAATCATGGCTACTGTAGTGGTGCTTCAAATTTAAATGGCAGCTCAGCTTTTAAGTTTACTTTAAAACTAGGTGGAGGGAATATATGAATGGTTCATCATCAGTGTTAAAAAAAGTGGACCCTCTCAACCTAGCCGTTGGAGTCTCCACGGCAAAATCAAAATCATCCTGGTATATAATTTCAATTGCCATTCATTCTCCAATCCAAAACCCATCTGAAACAACTCGAGTTCTTCCACAACTAGAAATGACTTCCCAAGCTTAGAGCTCATGTTCCTTCCCAAACCTTCTTCTCTCTTTTTGAACTTACTACTCTTCATCCTCTCTGCAGCTCTCTAGCTCCAATATTCTAATCAAAATGCCGCCTACTCTCTTTTGGTATGGCACTCTCTCACGGTTCTTGCATCTCATGCTCTCATCTTTTGTGGGTTTTCTACTCTCAGCTTCACGTTTGTCATATCCTATCATTGTTTCGCTTCGTCCTCGCCTCGGTGATCGGGCAATTACTGAGCATATTTGGCCTTATTCACTAGAGAAAGATCAAGCATTTCGATGCTCAAGTCACCGGGATCCCAAAGAGAGCAAGGTTTTGGTGAGATTAGAATCTGGGATTTTGATGGCAATTATTTTCTGATTCAACTGTTGGTGTTTGTTGAGCTGTGTTATTTATAGCTGTTGGTGAGAGTACGAAGAAATAGAAGCGAGAGAGGCGATGCGAGGAAGAGGAGTAGAGGATTGCTCAAGTACAAGGAGGAATCCATGGCAATGCAACACAGATTGCAGAAACAAAGCCAAAGAGTTGGATGAGACAATGAAGAGACAAGTATGGGCAGTTGGGTGAAAACTGATTTTGAAGGCTAATATATAAACCAAACCACCATTTGGTCATATATATATCTCTTAGATATGTAAAATAGCGCTTCTTGTTGCTTTTCGTCTTAATTAGTCATTACGGAGGTGGCCAGTTGATTTGTATTATAGCCTTGAGTTGCGAATTGAGTTTTTTTTCGCTAGTTCTTTGTGCATTGTAGTTGTTAAATAAAATTTCTAAGCTTGATTTATACATTAATTTCTAAATATTTACTTCCATGTCATGATTGTCTATCTAAGAAAAAGAAAAGATTTACTGAAATGGGAGGTTAAAAAAAGGAACAAAAAATTCTTTTTTTTTTCTTTTTTTTTTTAGTGATCCAAAAGTGTTCGAACCAAATTTGTGCGTATCTCAATTAATTTTTCGGAGCATTGATTCAGTAAATCCCCTCATTGGAGACCTCTATTAGTGATTAGAGACTCGAACTTAGAAACCATATTAAATTTTTGTTCTTGTTTCATTCATGGTGATTTTAATAGTAAGACTTTTGTGATCACTTTTAGACGGAAATCTCACATAGTAATTATTTTGACTGACACTCTAAGACAGTATGTTCCTTTATGTTGGAGAAATTAGGAATTTGTGCTGATATATTGTTATACGATTTCTCATTCTCTTTTTGTTCAGAAATCACATTACTCTTAACTCTTCTTGAGGCTATTTTGGTCCAATATATTGCTTTCCACATTCTTGTTGTCATGATTATAATAATGCATTGTTTTCATCCATTTTGATTGTTATGGACTTGATATTCTTTTTCAACAAGTCCCAAGTCCCCACGTTACCACATTTTTTTCTAAGAACCATGTCCACAACTGTGTTCATCTTTACCTTCTACCACATGCAGTAACCAGTGGGTTCCGACCGAGATATTTGCACGTCATAACAAGATGGACGCGCAAACAAAATTCAATCTTGGGTGGATAAGTGGATTATTTACATAGCCAACATCAATATCACTAAAAGAAGGCTTAGAAGGGTGTGTAATAATCATTTGATATCCTCTTTTCCCTTTTTATCGCCGACCACGTGAAGCCACTCAGTTTATTATTTTAAATCACGCAATGTTTATGTTTCACGGAACAACAACCCAAAAATAAAAATAAAAAAATTTCCTGTCTGGAAATCATCATATCTGATTGATTGTTTTCAGGAAAGGAGATTTTCTCTCAAGCCTCTTCAGATAACGTTTCTTTTTAATAAATTTTCTAGAATAAGGGTTTTTTTCTGTCCTTCACCTAAATTTGCAGAAACTCCGGGCTCAAAGTCAACAGTTTTGTGTTCACAGGCCTCAATTCCTTAAAATATCCCACGATGGATTTCGAAATCATCGCAAATTTAACAGAATTTTTACCGTTTGATATGTAAGGTTCTTTTTTCTTCTTCCTTTTTTTTTTTTTTTTTTTTTTTTTCTCTAAATAGTTTCTTGATACATCCTTATTATTATTATTATTATGATTTTTTTTTTTTTTTTTTACTTTTAACAGGACAATGGATTCTCAAATCTTCTGGTTCGACTGAAAAGCAAGATTTCATACAGCTGCAGAGACACGGGTTTCCTCAATTGGAAACGTTAAGACCGTCTGATCTGAGATTTGACCGGCTTCAGCCATCCGATCAAGAGTTGGTGGATCAGACAGATTTCAATTTGGGAAATTCGTGGCCGCGAGAAGCTGTTCTTGATGAAGAATATTGGGTAGGTCAGTGATACTTACTAATGCTTGAGGGTTTCTTTTGTTTCGAGTTGGCAAGTAATTTGTGGTGTTTTGATATGTGGTAGACAGCAGCATGGCTACGAGCTGAAAGTCACTGGGAAGACCAAACAAACGAACGGTGCGTATCCGTTCTATGCACCATGGCTTTTAGATATATATTTTCGGTCATTGTTATAATTAGTTTATGATGAGTTCCAATTAGGCTATTAATCATGTCAGGCATAATTGTCTTTATTTGGTATGTAGTGATTACCAGGCGTATACTATAATCTGTATGCATGTAATGCACCTATTTTAAGATTCTTGAAATTTTATAAAGAGAGCAGTTTGTGCGAATTTGATGTAATGACGATACTATAACATACTAAGGACAGAGAGGTTTGTAAGATAGTTGTCAAACTTTTTTTTTTTTTAATTACAAGGTTTTATAGATGATACCATGATGGAGATTTGCCAGTGGCGACTGCAAGTCCTACTATCTATATGCTTGCCAGCCTTGATGATTAACTAGATATGTTCATTTATATGGGTGGAAGAGTTTCGTATGACTAACTTTAACTATCCCTGGTTAACACAGATATGTTGATAACTACAAAAGGAAATTTGCAGAGCAGGTAGGATTGAGTGTCAGTTTGCTTTCATTGTTCAGTGAAATGCACTGATTATTTATAATGAGTTAAGTGGTTAGTAGCTCTTCTTATTGTGTAGGAGTTCAATGCCATAAAACGGCGATGCAGAGGGCAGCATTGGCAGAAATACTTGTGCATTGTCACGGTATGATGTTTGTTTGGATTTTAGGCTTTATTTTTCTTTTACTTTTAAACATGTTCAAGCTCTAAGGTTGATTTAATCAGATCCTCTTAATTTCTCCTTGTTATGACTTAGAAAAAAGGAAAGTTGAATCACCATTGGTTAGGAGTTGTTAATATAATGGAGCTTCATAAAATGCTTTGAAATTTAACAGGTTAAGAAGGAGGAGAGGAATGTAAAACGCACCGTTTTGAAAAGTGTAGTTGGAACACTTGATTTGAGCATCCGGTATCTGTTGCATGGAGAGACCTATCCTGGGGTATGTGCCTTTTGTTACATGCAAAGTGCTAATCCTACCTCTCACCATTACTAACCCTGTAAATTTCCAATCTGCTAATGAAGTTAAGTTAAATTCTTCTCACACAGGAACGGGTAATGGCTCCTCTGTTTGGCTGCATTAACAAAACAGACCCAAATAGATATGGTTATATTGCAAATTTATGTGTAGCCAAATCAGCACGTCGCCAGGGTATTGCGAGAAACATGTTGCATTTTACTATCGAATCAGCCAAATCTAATGGTAAAATGAAACAAATATCTTTGCTTTATAAACATATGAACTCTGCCGTCCTCCTGACCTGTCTTTTGGGTTGCAGATGTGGATCGGTTATATGTGCATGTGCATAGAAATAACAAACCTGCTCTGGAACTGTATGAAAAGATGGGTTTCGAGGTAATACTCTTGTGGCAACTCAACTTTTACTAATGGTTTCATTTCATGGTCTTCCCTGATATTGGTAAATGGCTGATACAGCTGTCACATTCATATGAGATGGTTGGAATGGGAAGCTCTCAATTCTTAGAGCAGACTGACTTGCTGTGCATAAAGATATAAAAAGTTCATTCAACACACATTGTTGAATTGTTTTTATTTTCTTTCGTACTCCATGAAGAAATGAAACAATTGTACATGAAGAACGTAGATTAATGTTATGCTTACATGAAAACCAAATTGGGGGAGTGGAAACCCATAGATAGCAATCATTTAGATGTGATCATGTGTGAAAATTCAATTGTATCAATGTAGTTACTCCATTTGTAAATGTGGTTTAATTTTCTGGCCTTCACTAATAATATTTGTCAAGGCTGGTCCAGCTTTTACTTTTCTTTTGGGATTGTTGTAATACCAAATTTTCCAGAATAGACTTGATTTCTATAAAGATTGATTAGTTCAACAGAAACCATCTCTGTCGTCCTTTTTTTTTTTTTAATTTATTTTCGTACTTTTTTCTGGTATGAGAAAATGAGATATTTGTACATGAAGATTGTAGAATACTGAATATCACTAATCTGTATAATAATGTAGAAAAAGTTTGTGTAAGCATAGTATTATTCATTGGATAGTAATGATATTTGTGGAAAGCGATTAGTAAAAGCTTGCGAAAATTATTCCTAAAAGCTGCTTCAAATGAAAGTTGGAAATTGAGTCCTCAAATAAAGAGATTGCACGGTGAAAAAGTAATAATAAGTGTTCAATGAATCTAAGATTCAAGAGAATTAAAATCAATAGCCATTAAATGATGAAAAGAAAAACCAGACTGGCAATTCTTAGCAACTTGGGAAGCAGAAGCTGGGGGTGATAGGAGCCATTGGAGTGAGAAAAATCATATGAGAGTGATATAATAATTCGCATCAGAAGCATCATTGAATCCAGTCAATCATGAACAGACAAACATCCTGATCATGGATTTAAAGTAAATGATTTGTGAAGGCATAATAAATTTTTAATATTAGATGAATATGAATCTATTTGTTTTATATTAAGAAGCTGTTTGAAAATAAAGTGAAAACCAAAAGTTAAAATCGACAAAGTTGCAGATTTGTTATAGTGAAAATTTGCAGCAGCAAAAGTGGCCACTATTCTCACATTGAGAATGAACAGTGTGTGCTTTTTGCTTTGTGATTTTGTTTCTGATTGATTTAGTATTGTTATCGTAGGGATAGGAACCCAAGCCAATACAAAATACATCACAAGTACTGTTGGGTTTGGAACCAGGTCAATAAAAGATGGGCGTCTAATGTTTAGTGAAGCGGTCCAAGTACAAGAAAGAAAAGAGAGACGTGGCTTCTCTGTGGCTCTTCCACTCTATCCTCCTCAAGAATGAGACAAGAAAGAAAAGAGAGAGGTGGCTTCTCTGTGGCTATTCCACTCAATCCTTCTCAAGAAAAAGATCAGTTGGATTCATATGTGTAAACGGTAAAATCTATGGTTGATTTGAAAGGGACGGATCCTGTGTGAAACGAGCCACTGACAATCAGGGACAAACGTAAAGGCTCATGTAACATCGGTGTGGTGTCTGCCGTAGGGACTCCGACGCTCAAGTCAGCACGGTTGAGGAGCAAGAATTTAGGAGCTAAAGTTATGAGTGATTTTTTAATGTATAATGAGAAGCTTGACCTTTGTTTATATTGACCTCTGTTTATATAGGAGTCCAAGAGAGTTTGAGTCCTAGTGACTTCTACTTGGTGGAGGAGTTTGAAGTAGTAAGGAAGTCTTGTTACTTGCCTTTATCGGATTAGGATTATCAATTCGAGTAAGATCTTGGATCTTGACTGAAGTGGAAAGTAAATAGGATTCTTATTCTTATTTTGGAATGAATGTGGGCTGATGGTCTGGAGTCCGATTTTAGCTTAACTTGTAGAAAAGCCCACCTCACAGGGTGATCAATATACAAGGTGAATTTAAGCATAGTCCAACCGAAATTAGGTTAAAGCACTGGGTTGTAATATGTTTACTTCATTATTGGACCTCTTAAGTCCAATTCGGTTTTTTAACCCATTCAATATGTAAGAACTTTGGCCTATGAAGAACTCTCAAGTATGTTAAACGCCGCAAAATTATTGTAATAACAAGAGCATTTTGCATCAATGCCCTAGCTTATACGTTTTAATTATTTGCTATTCTCAAATGCAGCAACCTATTTAAAACAAAGGAATAAAGATAACGCAAATTAGACTTTTAACGAGATAAATAATGAAATTTTTGTCATTAATAAACTTCTAACTGTAAGTACATGGATATGGGATTTGCCAATCAGTCTTTTAGAAATGATGACTCAGTCTGTACTAACATATTACATTGCATATTCAAAATTCGTTACTCAAACTCTAGTATTATAAATTATTGGATGATAAATTGTCTGTTTGGTTTACAGAGACTAGTAAAACATACGTTTGCTCTGCTTACGAAATACTCCGTACCTATATGTGGAACGGATAATGTCCACTAAGAGACACAGGCAAACAGGCTAAAGCAGCCCCTGGAATGAGTATCCAATCCTTCTTGTTGCAAGGCAACCATCATGGATGTTAAGGAGAGGAACAATATAAAAAGACCCCATATTAACCTCTTAGGCAAGGCGTAAAGAAAATCAGCTTCAGCATAGCGTGCAGTGAGGATGGACAAGAATATTAAGATGGTAGCAACCGATGAAAACAGAGAAAGTGCATCTGAAATGCCAAATACTATCAAGGCTCTATCTTTGGAAAAAATAGGGTGGACATTTTCATTGCTGGTGTCACCGGGTATGGTGATTGCCGCTGCAAATACAACTGTGGCAATAAGTGTTGCTGGTACTGTGCACGAGGATGCCGTATCTTTCAACCATTTCTCACCTTCTTTAACCAGTTGCTTATTTCCTCAGTAAACACCATTGCAGGTGTTTTCCCTTTTGAGAACTTTTATCCTCTTTGTAGGCAGGTTGAACAATATTCTCCACTTCCTGAATAAGTACAATTCAATTTTTTCATAACTAGATATGATATATTTTCTATCCTGAAATTCTTGAGCTCAAGCAGTGGTAAATAGTAAATATTAATGTTTAAAATAGAAAGTATTGTTACTTAATCCCTTGTAACTCACGCTGCATTTGCAGAGCTGCACCAGAGATGAGATTGTGTCTATGTTGAGGTGCCAATTTTCCAGCCAAGTGCAAGATATTATTCCCAGAAGTGTCTTCGGACATCAACAACAAATGTTTGTAGTCACCGGTTTGAAAGATGAGGTTGAATACCTTCTCTTTACGAGACATAACTACCAATTGAAATACATTATGATTCTCCGAATCTGAAAACCATAGTGCATGAGGAAATGACAACATAATCTCTTCAACAATTTCGTGAAGGCCTAACTCTGCTGCTAAAAGTAGCCGTTGTCTAAGTATTGAGGAAGCTCTTGCATGATCTATTCTTCCCATTATCCAACATTGGTGTTTGACTAGTTAAAGCGTTTGAAGATGCAGTAATTTCATCTCACGATTTCCTTTGTCTTTGGAACTGCATTCAATTAGTTAATCAAACTCAATGATGACTCACTGCTTATGGATTAAGTAATAGCAAGTCTTAGTAGCAGGTCAGAGTTTCATTACAAAGTTTAAGGGTTCTCCATAGTGCTGCTTGAAACATTAGGCCAGCTGGATGAAATTGATTTTATTCAAAAGAGATTAAAATTAAAAATTCATAACAAATGCCAATAAAAGCTTATAAAAACTATCTAAATCTCAATTAAAATGTAATCAATTAGTTTTGACAAGATGTAAGATAATAACTGATACCTCTATACAAATAAGATTTGTTTATGGTGACTTTGTGGTCTGGGAAGTTCAATTTTACAGGCATACCTACAACAGAAGTACATTCTTAAAATGTCACAAAAGAAAGAAAAGAAAAGTGGTACATCAACTGTCTCCCAAACCATAACAAAGCTCTTTGAAAGGGAAGAATGTTTAATGATGAGTAGCTAATAAGCGCAGCAAATTAATAAATACAACTGGGACAGATGACACAAGAGAAAGAAATGAGTGTGAGTGGATGTGTACTAACAATGAGACATGAGGCTTTACCAAGAATTCAATTGCATTTCACTTAGAAATGAAGAGGGTTTTCCGGCCATTGCACTCAAAAGAGAGTCACCACCATATAACTTTACTGCACCTAGACCTTGATGAAGTTGAAGCAATTCTAGTGCCAAGTCTGAGGATCAAGATATATAAGAGTTCTTAAATACTGATCTTTTATATGATCTGTATCTTCTCTTTTAATTTATTTGTTTCTCTTTAAATATCATCCATCTATTTTCTTTGTGTTACTTCAACGGAAGGAGTTTACTCACCATAAAAGCCGGCAATTAAAAGCAAGATCATGAAGAAAACACCAGGTCTGTCTGCAGAATATTCAGGTTCCGGCAAGTAGTTTCTCACTGAATTGCAGTAAGTATTTAGTCATCTCCTTTTGAGCAAGTCGAGCCTCGAGCAAAGGTATCCATCCACAGTGGTATGCAATCTGATTAAAATTTGGTTGTTGCATCAGTATCATCCACGTTACCAACAATTGCAGCAATGGAAAGAACCGTGTTACCTGTTCAAAGTAATGATATTTTGCTTGAAACAATTACTTTTTTATTATTAGACTGGAGCTGGAAACTGGCGGCAAAAGGGCAGAATTTGAAGTGGTAAAGTTGGCTTGGGAGCAATTCACCATAGCTGGTCTGTAGGCATGCTGAAGTGATTGTTTTTGGTGAATTCAACATACATTAGGCTGCCTACTTTATATCAACTTAATGTGATGTAATTAGAGTTGCTAAAGATGTATGGTTAAGATGTTTTTTTGGATTAAAATAAGTTTTATGTTAGGTACAACAGTAGGTCTGCAATGTATAAACTTTGTTGTATTTGTTGAATGCATATGAAATATACAAGTCTTTCTTCTCTCTTATCTTTTCCTTCCTTTTCTCTCCCGTATAACTATCACTTACCTGCTCCAATAACCAACAACTGGTATCAGAGCACCATTTGATCTCAAGGGGCCTGCAAAAAAACCTTCATTTTGGCACTCACTCAGTCAGTTCTCACCACACCAAAAACCAGACTTCATAGCAGCAGGTTCAGCCTCACTCCTACCTCCAACCTTCAATGGAGAACAATACCATATGTGGGCTGTTAAGATGAACGCTTATTTAAGAGGTCAGAGTCTATGGCAGTACATAGAAGAAGAGAAGCAGTTGCCACAATTGGGGCCAAATCCAACTAAGAATCCATGAAGAGGAGACTACTAAAGCTCCAAGAGCTCTGTCCCATATACATACAGTTGTTACGAATCAAGTCTTC